GGGTGGGCCATAGAGAGAAAGAGAGGGAGAGAGAGAAACGCGCACAGCTGGTAATGTAAGAGTTAACAGAGCGGGTGTTGAAGAAAGGGGGCGGAAATGCAGTCGGAGCGTATAGCAAAAATGAGAGAGAGAAAGCGCAGAGTTAACTGGCAAATTGCAAATTCATTACGAAAATTACTTCACCAGCTTGGCAAATTTTCTAAATTTGCTGCTTTAATTATTCTTTAATTTTAATTCTTTTAGTTACTTAGCCATATTTTGTTTACTTTTTCTTTTACTTCGCAATTTGTCCACATTTCTTTTCCCTTACTCCACTTGCCACGCTCTTATTTGCTAATAAATATTTATCTCACTTTTTTTGTTGTTAAGCTGAATTTCGGTTAGCTCATTGTCACTCGATTTTTTGCGGTTTTTCTGTTTGCCGACTTGAGCCGCCGTGCAAAGTCCAAGAAATTAAAGTGTCAGACGGGCGGTCGGGGTGGTGGAGCTTTGGGGGGAGGGGCGCCGTCGGCCGACAGCCGCACGTTAATTAAATTCATTTATGCAGCTTTATTTCGCCTTTATTTTATTTTTTGTTTCGCTTTATTTTTAATGATATGATTCACATGTGACATTCTTTTGATGATACGCGCTTCGACTTTTTTTAGTGTCCCAATTACGGGGTGATTGTTGGGTGTATTAAATTTAGGGTCAACACAGAGTGTCTTACTTTCAAACTAAAAATATTCCTAATATTACAAATGATTTATGTAATATTTATAAAGTATATTTGAATAAATATTTCTATGATATATTTTTTATTAAGAATATATCAGTTTTAAATTAAATAAATACTTTTGTTTAAGAGGTGTTTAATTAACCCTTTCATATACATATTAAAAAAAATAATAATAAGCTCGTTTTTATTTTTATAAGTAAATAAATTATTAAAAAATTAATACAAATTGTAGATTTTGTATTAAAATGTATCATATTTTTATATATTTATTTGTAACACCTTTTTTACCTCTACTAATTGTACTGAGTATTATACTCTCTATCTTTCTATGTGATTTCCCCTTTTGTTTGCCAGACAATGTTGCTTTGTTTTAAAATAGAAACTTCAAATATATTAGCATGTCTGCGGATTTGTTATTTTGTAGCTGGCTAGCCGGTTGTTGTTAATCGAATGTGTTGTGCCGCCCAACGGAACCCCCTCACTACCCCCCTCCCCCTTCTCGAAACGGTACGCCCCTGCAACTACAGCACCCCCGCTGCGCACTTTTCAGCCGACAGCCGACGACGGCAACAATTGAGACAACTTATCATGAAGTGCTAATTAACATTGTCTGGCCGGGGTCTCTCACGTATGCCAATGTCTGGCGACCTACCTGCGGTTACTAGGAGAAGCCCCCTCGCCTCCCTGCACCACCGCCCACCGCGCCCCTGTGCACCACCTATAACCCACCCAATGTGAACGGAACAAGAAAAAATAATAACAAAAACCACAATTCACCCAAAACTGGCACTTGGTCGCGTCTCTCGTCTGTGTTTGCTTTTTTTGCCATACAAAGAAATACAATTTTTTTTTCCTACCATGAATATTCCCAAAAGTTGGGGGAAAAATACATAAAAAAAGTAGAGAATAATTGTGTACACATACGACGAGACGGAACATTTTTGTTTATGTTGATAATCTAATATGTGCTGACGTATCTCCTAATTTTTTTTCTATCTAGTTTCTGTTTTTTTTTTTGCTATTTTTTTTATTTGTGGGGGAGACAGACGATTTTCTGGGTCTGCAGGTTGTGTGTGCGTTGGCAATTTGTTTTCTGTTGACTTTTTGGCGGCTGCTTTGAGCCACCTGGCCACCGGTCGATCGATCGATTGATCGGTTGATCGGCGGGATCGATTGGATTGGATCGCAGCGATCAAGTGATCGAGTGATCGTGCCAAGGCTGTGAGCTGTGAGTTGTGAGCTGTCTGCCTGCATGTATAAATAAATTGTGGCAATTAAATAAATAAAATAGATGCATATGCATGCAATTTTAATTGTCAGACAGCGTTCAGGCGGTGCACGTGTCGTATACGTAATATACGTAAGTACTGCAGGCACCCTTTACACCGTTACCTCATTCCCAATTAAACTTTGCCACGCGAATCGCAATAAAGGGCCCTCGATTGGGTTAACTTTAAATACTTTTCAATTGAGAAAAAATAGCTTTTTAACAGGTGAATTTTAAGAGCTATAATTACCACAACAAATGTACTAACTTTGTAACTTTTAAGATTCAAGATCTTTAAGTCAATGTATTCAAATTAAATATATTTTGTTTAGTAAGAACATTTCTCCATTTTTTGATTATATTTAAAATTAAATTACTTATATTTTTCTATATTCCATTGAGTAGTTTTATTGTTTAATTTGTGTTTAATTTATTCTTGTTAAACATGTGATAGTGAAAAGTTTTATCACCCACATAATAATATTAAATTAGTTCTTTTAGAAGTTCATAGCGTATTTATCTTAGATCACAATTAAATTTTGGAATAATTACTATTTTGCACAGCTTAGCAATTAGTTTATAAATTTCTTTGGTAATCTTTCACTTAAACCGTTCAAAAATGAATTTCCCACCTGGGAATCTTCGCTGCAGCCTGCAGACCTTCACCGCTTATCAAATTAGCCAACTTCTAGGAAACTAAGAGCAGCAGCCAGGTCTCCTCGGCCTTTATATATGGCAGAGTAGGGTATCGCCCACAAATGTGCATTAATCGGGATGCCTGGGTGTTAGTCATTAACTTGCTATTGTTGTATTGGCTGGTGCAAAAAGACAACTATGCTTTTGAGTCATTGTTGCCTTTGGCAGAGAGCGACAACACCGACCGATTCCGCAGCTTTTTTTTTTTTTTATGCCGCAGCTCTTTTTGGCTCACTGTGATTGTGATAAGCAGACTGTGGCGAGACAACAAAAGACATCGCAGACAAGTTTGCACTTACTTCACATGCACCGATTTACCGATGTGTTGTGATGTGATGTGATGCGCTGCTGCTGCTGCTTTTGATATTTTTAGACACCGCCAGTCAGCCTGCCGCGGCAAAATACAAATACAAGAAAAACAAAAAAAAAAGTAAAAAATAAAGTCGGAGGCAAAGGCAAGCAAATGGCGTTGGCACATCTCACACATCGCCTCACATTTTAGCCAGACAATGAGTCTAGTCGGGCATCGGTTCAGATTCAGATTCAGATACAGATACATATAGCAGATACAGATGCTGATTGCGAAACACACGACTCTTCACCCAGTTCATTCAAAATTTGCCACAATTGATGATGCATCGATGAGTTGGCACACGGAGAAAAAAAAGTTGGACAAATTAGACAGGTGAAGGTTACCTATAATAAATCTTAAAAAAATACTACTTAAAATAACACAAAAAGTATCTTATATATATCACAATACTGTTTTATTATTAACGTGTTTAAAAAAGGTTTTCGGTGAACTTAAATACATTTTCCCTAAATATATAATAATTTCTTTCAATTGTAAAAATAGATTTATTTGCTTTAATTTGCATGATTGATTTTGTCTGTGCAGAAACTTCGATTTATCATCGAATGCAACAGGTACAAGCCACACGGCAAATGGCACCCCAAAGATTTCTTCGTGCTAATGAATTTCCTGCCGCCTTTCGCCTCCTTTGCTCTCAAACGCAGCCAGCTCATTAAGCCCTCCATTGACCGGCTAAAGATGGAACAATGGCCAATACAAAGGCCCCGGGCTCGAATCATAACTCATTGAACTTTTGCCGGCAGCAGCAGCCGTTGGTTGCTTGCTTGAAACATAAAAAGTGTCAATCAGTGACTTTGGTGCGGCAACGATGGCGACGCCTCCAAAGTCCCATTACAATGCCATTTTTATGGACACCGCTGGCGGGGATGTGGCGACTGCAGCGGCTGGAGAGGAGTAAGCTGCTCCAGCTGGTGGAGCAGGAACAGTAGAATGGGTAGAAGAAGGAGAAGGAGAAGGAGAAGGAGGAGGAGGTGGTGCTGCAGCAGACGGCAGGGTCGTAAATGTAGTAATAATAGTCGCCGAGGGCCAACGCCAACGTTCGCTAGTTGCGGTCGGGATTTTCTGGGGGTGAGCAGGCGCATCATGCACTGAGCGCAATAAAGAGCTCCTACTTTTCTGATTTATATGTTAGAAATAATTAGTTTCCAAGGTCTTTAGTTTTACTATGGTTATTTAAACATAAAATGGGTTTTTTTACTTAATCTAAGATAAAACATAAATCGAAGAAATTTAAGGAATTTTTACAATAATTGAATAAAAAGACAATATAAATTTTGGTTTATTAATATTTAAATTGCAGGCAAATATAACTCCCAAAAAAATGTGTCGCTTTTAAATTTGTTATTTAAGAAATGCAAATAAAATAACAATTCAATAAAAAACATGGTATTTTACTTAATTTCAATAAAAGGAGAAGGAACACAACCACATATTACGTATACGCCTGGGTCAACGGTTACATTTATAAAACCATGTTTTCATACATCTTATAAAAGTTTTTATTTATTTGGTTTATTTTTTATTTGGTTTTATTTGGTTTATATTCATAATTTTTTCTTCAGTGTGGTGGTGGTGGTTCATTCGGGCCATTGGCTGGTGTCGAAAAGCAAGACATAAATGTCTAACATATGCCGAGGATGGCTTTTGGAGTTGGCCGGCGAGGCGACAGGTCTATTACCAAAAGCCTGCTTATGACGGGTTATTGCACGCCTTTTGTGCCAGACCACAACCTCCGGCGACACTTGACGGATACGGATATTCCTCGGTGAAAAGAACACATGATGAGTGATATGATCCATTAGAGAAACTAAAGACATATCCTCTCAAAAGAATTTAAATATTAAATTGCTTTGCAAATGATTTAACTTTCTCTTAGTTTTTAGGATATTAAATTAATCCACCTCTTTTCTGGAAATGTTCTTTAACTTATTCATAAATAATATCTTTCACATTAGATCCTCTACAAACTGAAAGCTAACATTGGTGGAAAACTGTGGCTTGTGGTAAAATATCCAATTAATCGCCAATAAATAATCGCCAGTGGGCATAGGAAGTCGCATTTTATCCGTGGATAAATACATATTCTTTAGAACAACGTCACCCTTTAAAAATAATATTTCAGTTATCAATTGCTTTAAAATCACCAACCCAATGACTCACATAATATGGGCAGGTATGATTAAAGTTGGAAAAATCCTTGTATATATTGAACATTAATATTCCGATGGAATCGTAAGGCTTGCGCAAAAATCGACATCCATCGATTTTAGCATTTATTAGCCAAGGCTTGTAGCCACTTTCCCTTTTGAACAGTTGATAGTGGACCCAAATATCTCTGGTTGGATATAAAAATGTTGCATTGAAATTGAACACAGTCCTTTGACGATTGATGGCCTTCAAGCGGCAATGATTGATCCTAACCCACGTTTCATTGTAACTCCCGCAAAGGACATTCGTCAGTTTAAACACAACTGAGTCCTGTCAAAAAATAATGTTTTCATAATCATAAATACCAAAGAAAACCGAAACTTACAATGGGTATTACGTTCAAAGTAAATAAAATGCACAAAAGAGCGGCAATTCGTTGGCTTGACCTCATGATTGAATAATTTCAAAAACTACTGAAGACTTTTGTTGATTTATAAATGCTTTATTCATATTTTTATGTATTTCCATTATCCCGCGATCTCTTTGTAATTTCCCTCTGAATCAGTTTTCAATTACCACATATTTTTCGGGTAATTATTTTTTAATAGTTGGAAAAATGTTGTTGCTTTATTATAAACACGTGTGGAAGAACTACGATTATACATTTGGTTTTGAATTCTATGTACAAAAACCTCTGGCAGATTAAGTTCTCTGGTTAAATAAATCTTCAACAAATTGAAAACTAAGATTTGTGTCAAACTGGGGCTTCCTAAAAAATTTCCAATTCATTGCGAATAAAAAGTCACCGGTGGGCAAAGGAAGCTTCTTCAGTGGCTCTGTAGTTAAACACATGTTCTTAACGATCAGCTCTCCCTTAAGAACATTAACATGAATTAAAAAATTAATATTATAATATTATCGAATTTAAATAACACTTATAGACAGCACTGAAAACTTGTTTAAGGTTTTGTACTATCAAAATAAAAACACTTAAAATTCTTTTTAATAACATTGTATTATTTTTAAAATTTTATTTAAATCATTTTAATACAGGTAACAGGTAATATCAAACAAAACGGAATAACATTGCTGTTTTGAAAGACATTTGTAGATTTTTTGTTTAGAAATAGTACACAGTTACAATAAATCTTCAACAACAATCTTCAACAAATTGGTAACTAACATTTGTGACAAACTGAAGCTTTCGATAGAAGAGCCAGTTTATCTGGAGCATATAATCGCCGGTGGGATACGGTACGGTTTTTATCTCAGTTGTAAGATACATTCCCTTGATTACAATATCCCCCTTTAAGCGAAAAATGAAAAGAATGTCATTCTTGTTGCCTTTAGAATATTTAAGTACTTACATAAAGCGGACAAGTGTGATTGACATTTGACCAGGGTCCATAAATATTATAAATTAATATAGTCAAGAGATCGTAGGGCTTTCTTAAAAACCTGCAACCGTCGATCTTTTTTTTGAACAACCATGGCTTGTATCCGCTTGCCCTTTTAAGCATTTGATAATCCATAAAAATGTCGTTTGTCGGATGAAGGAAAGTTGCATTGAAATTGAATACGGTTTTATTTCGACTGACGGCCTTCAGGCGACACTCATTAATTGTCACCCATGACTTGTTGTGACTGGCGCATCTCACATTTGTGAGTTTATAAGTCACCGAATCCTGTTTAGTTACTCGTGATTGATTTACCCATTAATTTGGTATCCTTATTCAACTTACACATAATCTCCAAGTCAAAAATAATGCTAGGATACCGAATGCTTTTAGTGTGTTCCCCATGACTTTTGAAGGTTGAATGAAATTCATACAGGTTTACCTTCTTTTATGTTCTCGTAAAAATGTGGTTTTTAATTATTAAATTGAACCGCTGTATAAATTATTTTTAACAATTCAGCAAAAAACTTTGGCGTGTGGGCATTTATTGAGACTATTCAATTGGAAAAACGTTTAACGATCGTTTTGTGGTTTAATTAGTTAAACAAAAACCGCACACAGGTTTTCACATATTTTGCATAGAATTAATATGTATTTGACAGATTTTTGTTTAATTGGTTGTAATTTTTAGTAACTGAAACATTAAGTCAGGAATACAACTTTAATAAAAAAAGTGGTGACAAATATTTTGAATAATTCGTTTAGAAGTGCAATATTTTTTTTATTAAAACAGTGAAAGTCCTCATAACAAAAGGCAGGTTCAAAGCCTGCGGCAAATGTGAGTTAATAAAAAACAGCTCCGAATGTATCAAATTAATAAACGAAAAGGAAAAGAGTCGCCTGAAAGCCAACAATAAAATCCAGATGGACACAAAAAGGTGCTGAAAGTCAAAGGAGTTGTGTGGCAAATGCTCATTATACAAATTGCACAAGGAGACGAAAGATCCTGTCACAAGAAAAGCGAATGGAGAGCGAGAAGGCTAAAAAGTCAGCCAAAGGTATCTGGACGACACCTTTGCCAGCCGCAGATACAGATACATTGACGCAATGATGAAATGACTGACAGACTGACAGAGTGGAAAGTCGCACTGGATTCAAATTCAAATGAACCCCGGTGTGGCTGAGGCAAAAGAATCTATTAAGATATTATCAGGAGGGGTGAATCAGTGTGGCACAGCCATGCAATTGTTGCAGACAATTTGGGTCGGGATGAAGTTGAATCTGCTGCTGCTACTGCTACTGCTGCTGCCACAATTGCGGCCATTAGTGCGGATCGAGGGGCACGAACAGCGGCAGCGGCAGTGGCAGTCTGGCTCTGCATCTGAATCTCAGTCTTGGTTCCACAAATATCTAGATTGGGTTTGGGATATGGGGATGCGGCTGAGTAGGGTAGTCGATGCCAGCCGAAGCAACCCTTTTTCTTGTCTCGACCGGCGTGTGTGTGTGTGTGTTTCTTTTTTTTTTTTCGTTCGTTTTGTAGACATTTTTCGTATGACAACGGCAAATATTTGCCGGATAATATGAATAACAAAGCAGAAAACGCAGCAAAGGCGAGAGAAGAGGCCACATCAGAGGGCGCAAAAGGGGGGCGGGCGTTCGGTGGGCGGTTCGGTGGGTGGTTGAGGGCCAAACACAGGGTGGTTAGCCAGCCAACCTACTTAAGCCGCAGTTAGAGTCCCAGACTCCCACAGTGTGAAAAAATTGGGTTTAAAAAGTAATTATATATTGATATCCGATTTAATTTTAAATAATTATAAATCCTGAAATATATCCTGAAAATAAATAAACATACTAGAAGCCAAAAACCTACATTTTAAAAGCAACAAGAGAATTTAAACATTATTATTGAATAATAAATTAAAGTAAAAGAAAAATGTTATAAAAGATTTGTACCAAGGCCAAAGGACCAAGGTTTAGTTAAGATATTTAATTTATTTACTATATACAAACAGAAATAATATTTTATATTGTCCAAAGAACAAAATGTTTACTTATAATAGATGGATTACCTCTCCATAATTTATGATTTAGATAGCAAAACTTGAATTATTTTTTGCTAAATTGAAAGTTTGTACTTTTTGGTAATAAGACTTTATTTTGAATATTAAATGATGATTTTTTGACAGTGCATTTCTGGACGGGGCCAGACGACTACAACTTAAACTAAAAGGCTGCACCGCGTTGTTGCTGTCGCCGATGTTGCCCTGCCGCTGTGTTGTCGTTGTTGTTGTTGTTGTTGTCGCCGGTGTCTGAGACGCAGACAACTTCAAAATGGAGCGGTTCTGGAGCCGGAGAATAGCTCCGGTGGCCCCAGTCGACGGCTGGCCGTTCTGACTGACACAAAAGTGCTTTTGTTGCAAAGTTTAATGAAGAAGAACACGACGAGGACGACAAGGACGGCGAGGACGACGGGGGCGGTGGAACAGATTCGCCAGGACAAATGAGACATGCTAAGCTCGGGTGAAAGTAATACATAGAAAGGGAATAATTAATGCTGTTCAACGGAATAGAACATTTATTAAAAAGCCATATGACTTGCAGTCCTGGACTTGTTAAACAAAAAAAGAAAAGGTTGTTGGGGGCAAGAAGATCAGGGCGGGTATGTTGAATGATAATGAGAATGCGATTTATTTAAAAAACCCTATCGAAGGATATTTTGAAGAATTACGTAAATCAAGTTTGAATAGAAGGAATGAGGTACAAATAAGTTTAAGTAATTTAAGTTATATTAGTATCCAGATCAATTAGTTATCCTTTTATCGGTTGGTACAAGTATCTTTCATTAAAATTGTTGGTAAGTCCTACTTGAATTAATGCCAAAAACCTAAAACGCGGATTATCACGGATCTAAAATATAAAACATGAAAAAAAAATATTTTTAATTTAGAGTTAGTCGCCATTTGCTGGGACACTAAGCTGACTGATGCGACGCCACAATGCCACAAAAGGCATTGGCCTCTTGTCAATAAGCCCATAACCCCGATCTTTTCTGGACACAAAAATTGCCCACTGTCTGGGCAGCAAAAAAAAAAAAATATATATATATATATATGTATATATTGAAAGGGAGAAAAAAATAAAAGCGAAAAATCGAAAAAACGAAAAAACCCAAGTGCATTGCAGCGACAACGAAAAAATTGCATGCTGAGCCTTTGCTGTTGCTTCTGTGGTTGTTGTTGTTGTTCATGTTGTTGTTGTTGTTGTTGTAGTTGCTGTTGCTCCTGATGTTGCTGTTGTTGTTGCTGTTGTTGCTGCTGCTCTTACCTCTCCTGCGATGCACTTCAGACGACGACGACGCTTTGTTGCAGCCCAATACAATCGACACACAGACAGGGGCGTTGCGAAGGGGGGCGGCTGGCGAAAAAAAAATGGAAGGGGGTTGAAGGGGCGCCGACGACAACAGACGGGGTCGCGAAGGGTTTTCTTTTTTTTTTTTTTTGTCGTATGTGGGGTGTGGAAAAAGGGCGGACGAGAGGGGTTTCTGCGGGGGTAGAACTGCAGACCGTGGCAGACAAAACAATATGTTTGTTTGGATTATATCCTACATACAGGCATTGCAAATACACACATGCACATAAAGCACACTCTCTCACATACTCTCTCACACACGCACACTACACTCACACACATACTCACACACAATTGCAGCGATGCGACGAAGCTTCTTTGTATGCGCAAACAATTGGAGCAGGCGGAAGTTGCATGGCGGCGACGCTCGTCGGTTGTCCGGACAACCAGTGAGAGTGAGCGAGCTGGCTTGGCCAACAGACAGGGCCAGAAAGAGACGGAGGAGGAGACGAGGCGAAAGAGAGAGGGGACGAGTCACGACCGAACACCCTACGGTGCACCTTGAAAATTCCTTGATTTTTTTTTGTTTTTGTTTTCGTTCTGCGCCATGCAGCTTCACTTGGCCCTACGCCTTGATTAACTGTCAGTGACTGAAAAGTGATTTAATCAAGGCACTGTCCAATCAAACACACAGCAAAACAAAAATTGGGGCCAAAGAAAGCCAGCCGGTGGGGAAGATTTTTAAGACTTTCAGATACCCGACAAAGAATACTTAATTTAAATACAAATTTACTTGTTAAATTTTAAATTTAAAAACTAGTAAGTCTGTATAAAATGAGTTGCAAAGTTTTCTCTTTGACAAATCTAAAAAAGACCCTCAACAGTTTTTAATATAAATATGAATTAACTTTAAAATGTATATATCTTTAAATATAGAAAAACTAAAGATAATTTGATTATAATCAATTACACTGTAAATCAAAACATACAAAATTGTCTACAATTTGGCAGAACCTAAATTATTAAAAGAAATTTAAATAAGTTAAGATCAACGCACAAAAAAATCGTAACGTTAAAAGATAAAAAAAAAACCCAGATAAACAATTTAACCAACGAAATATGTATCAGTTTTTGGCATCTACAAAAAAAACTTTTTATTTATACAATATTATCAGGATTTTTACCTGTTGAACTTTTCTACAGAACATGTATTCCATGATATGCGTAACACCTTCCCTCATTTAAATTCCCTCCACAATTGTAATTTAAAATAATTTTTTTCAGGAGTATACCCCTACCTTTGTTGCATAAAGGGTAAAAGGAAACAACTGCAGGCAGCAGCAACATGTGCTCCATATGGGACAGCGGCTCAGATTGGAACTCAGCTGCTGACTCTGATTCTGACTCGGACTCGGACTCGGACTCTTACCCACAGCGGATCAGACATGGACACGAACTCGGGGCAGATCGGTGCTTAAACTAAGCCAAGCCCAACCCAGAGACTATGTGGCCTGCTCCCCGGCAGCCAGACCACATCAATCAACTGCTGCCCGCCGTTCGCTCCCCCAATGCTCCCTCCTCCAGTGAGCATCCTTCAAGACGCAGCTTTTAGTCGAAATCCACTTGCATCTCCGTTGATGCAACGTTCGTTGCTGTTGCTGCTGTTGCTGTTGCTGTTGCTGCTGCGTCAACGTCGCCCATATTTGACATGGCCATAATTACAGTCAGTCGTCTGCCGGACTTGCAAAGTCGGCGTCTTGGTCTTGCAGCTGGACTTGGACACAAGATTGCGATTCGCACCGGGGACTGTTGCTGGGGGACTGGAATTGGGGACTTGCAGCTTGTTTTGAGCGCGCTTTTTCAACGTATTTGTTGTCTTTCCATCCTCTCAACGAATGTAAAAAAATTGTGCACAGTGGGTAGGGAATGCTATAAAATATTTTTATTTACAAATGCGTAATAATATTTGTACCGAAGATTTTGTGATACAATGTTTTTTTTTTCACTAAATTACAAATATCGAATAAAATTAGTTTTAAAATATCTGCATTTCATGA